GCATTTATTTCCAATTTATCCTGTTCATCAACGGCCTTGGCTGACTGAACAGATTCATTTTTTGCCGACTCAGCAGATACCATTATTGCTAACTCAGCGGATTCACCTTTAGTAGCTTCCTTATCGGCTGTTTCAGCAGTTTCTTTCTCAGCTGACTCAGTAGTTTCGTTTTCAACTGACGGAGCAAATTCTTCTGTAGCTGACTCCTTTTCCGGTTCAACAGTCAGGTCTTCAGCAGGCTCATCCTCATCGGGTTCAGCGGTCATTATTGCAAATGGGTCGGCAACCTTGTACTTCAAAGGGTCACCAAAAAGCTTTTTAGTTGAGCTCGCCGTCATCTTTCCAAAGGGAGTAATATCAGTTTTTTGGTCCTGTTCAACAGTTTCCGTAACTTGCTCTTTAACCGTTGTTTCTTCATTTCCTTCAGACGTTGATGTACTTAGTTTTCTAAGTGGTCGTTTTTTCTTCGTATAAGCAATGTCCTCAAAAATAGGCGCATCTTTTATGCTGGGTTTGGTAGAAAGACGGAAGGGTGCGATCTTTGGTTTTGTACCATTTTTTCTTGCTTCGTTCATGGCTTCTCAAGTTTTAAAATACTACATCTGAGATACATCAATCTGGAAGAAATATAAACAATAGATAGTGAGGTGTATAAGTTCACAGTAAATTTATCATGGTATTAATGTTAAAGAATTAATATTAAAGTTTAGGGAAAAAGTATTTTGTTTCTGGACAGTTTACAAATTTTACAAGATATTTGATTTCATATAACTTTTCCCTAAATATTGTGTACTTCGTTGCGAACTTCGTTGTGAAGTTAAAAAGTTCATACTGAAATTCACAAGCCGGTATGTAAACAAAGCCTCCGATTGGTCGCTGAACAAAATGCATTGTTTACAAACCGGTTTGTGAATATGATTATGAACTCTAAAACTTCCCAACGAAGTTCACAACATTGAGGGAAAAGTTATGTGAAATCAACTGCAAGTGGTTCCGGGGAAGCTCCCACCCAAGTCTCAAAACACCCGTTATATATAATTATCGTTTTAAGGTTGACTTTGTATTTCCTCGCGTCAGTATAGCACAAGTGTTGCTTCTATTTATCAGGATAACGTCGGGCAACGTGATGACGTGATCGCTTTTATATTTAACAGTTATTCTACGAACTCGAGTCGAATATGAGCTGATAGCCGATGAGGCGCGTAGCGCCGAATCGGCTATCGCTCATATTCGACGAGAATGAGTGGAATAACTGTTTTATTATATACACAAGGTCTGAATTCACAGACTTTGCTTTTCGGATATTTTCAATATTTTTCTATTTTGTTTATGTTTTTATCTTCGCTCTTTCGGCCGATTATTTTTTCAAAAATATACATTTTTAACCATTTTAAATTTTAAAAATTTATTTGCTAACCTGAAAACAAATTGTGGGAGTTTTTTCATTGTGTTTTTAATCCTGTAAAGGTTATAAAAAGCGACAACTTGCCGTTTTCTCGTTTGCAAAACATCGTAAATTCAGTTTGGCCGCCATTTTGTTTTTCTCTACTAGCAGGATATGAGCTAATATCCTGCTAGTAGAGAACCAATCAGATTGCAGAATACCTCATATCCAGATCTTGTGTATATAATAATCACTGTTATAAAAGCTCATGCAATTTTCCCCACTATACTAACTTCCCGACGAAGGGCCCCGAAACGTCGAAGTTCTCGTTGCATTTTTTAGGTAGTTGTATCTTTATCAATCCGCAACATTTTTATTATGTGCACTACCTACACAGGCACAGACCAGAACTCATCATTTTGCTCTTTTGAAGTGTACAGATCCCTTTATTGCGTAATTCAACTTCCCAAATTATTCCTTTGACTCTATGTTGTTAATAACAGTAGGATTAACTCAATACGCAGGACTATTAAGACATTTATAATGTCAACAGACACTAACAAATAATCGCAATGTTTTAAAACAGAAATAACTTAAAATAAAGCCTGATATTTCAAATATGAATGAAGGTATAGATCACATGCAAGGCATCTGCAGTTGTCAACAAAATTCATTTGAATTATACAATACACGCATTCTATGAAGTTTCCAACTTAAAGAAAAATAAATGTTACGAAAACTTAAAACGCCGCGTTGTCCACGTAAAACATCTCAATCTTGTTGCTAATTTTCCAAGGAAAAATGTGTGAAAGTAACTACATAGTTCTCAAGGGGGACAAAACATGCAAGGAGTACATTTTTCAAACTTCAAAGTAATTCACAACATAGATTTCCGGTGCGATGTTTTGTTGTTGCTTTTAGATTCTCTATACCTACAGTATATCTATATATCTATAGCTTTATTTAGGTTTAATTTTCTTTTTAGTTTTAGGTATGAACCCATCAATGCACCCTACTTTATTGTATGCCTAATGCCAGACAATTTTATGATCTTACTCGTCAAGGGGAAAGCAGTTCAAAGCACTGGTTATCGATGGGTTAATCAGACTATCTGCCCGTGTGTCTAGTTAACCCATTAATTGTTAACCCGTTGATGCGCCCTACTTTTTAATTTTACTCTGTCCAACGCCAGATGATTTTATTCGTCAAGGGGAGAGCGCTGGCGCTCAATGAGTTAAATACTCAACGATAGTTGAGTTCTGGTTCCAGCTGGAACTTAAAAAATTGGTTCTGGTGCACCCCTATACACCATACATTGGCATAACCTTAGTATTTCTAAATTAACTTGTGGTTAGAACTTGACAACTTGACTCTGTAGCTCAGTTGCTTAGAACGCTGCACTGGAAGTGCAAGGCTGCAAGTTCGAATCCTACCAGAGGGCCTATAGATAGTTGTATTGTTTGCAACAGCTCCTAATAATGTACAAACATTCCACTTGAAAATTCCATCTATAATTATAATAAATCCCTTCAACAATTAGTTCTATCATGTGAGATGCCTAGGCCCTAGTGACAACCCAAAATCCTGATATTTAAGAAAAAATAACATACCACCTGCAATTTGTCTGTACCTACTGAGTGATTAATTTTAACTGCCTTATTCAAGTTGGCACACATGAATTCGAATTAAAATTATGCAGCCTGACCTAAAAGCTCTAGATGATTAGGATTTAGGTAAACCCAATCGTCTGTGCAAAAAAAACCCAGCAAAACCCGCCGACCCTGAATCAATTGCACAATACAAGATTTGTCTGTACCTAAGGGACCGGTCATAAAGTATGTGTACTGGGAGGGGGAGGGGGTGGTTATTCCGGGGGGATGCAACAAAATTTGGAACCCTCCCCCAAAAAAGCATCAGAAAATATTTTAATACTCTTAAAAGAAGATGAAATGTTCCCCCAACCAATCACCCTCTCCCCAAAAACATAAAATTCTAAGAACATAACTGTTTTGCAAATTATTGCAATGCATTGTCTGTATTGAAATATTTAGCAGAGTTAACAGGGCTTCAAATTCGCTGTATCCCGATATCCCGGCGATACCAGATTTGAATTTGGATACTGGAAATCACGAGCTCAGTGTCCCGAGAGATACTGAAAAAAATTCTGTCCACGGCTGATATTTCTCGACAAAATACCATCGAAAATAATACAATTAGATAAACAAAGTGAAACCGATCGAATTTGACTGCTCAAGAAAGATATGCTCAAAAAAGTGGCAAAGCCAAGCAAAGTATGAAGAAACAAAGCATTGTTGAAAATTTAAAATGGCTTGAAAAAATCCTTTCTGTGGGTAATGCTCGTGAACGAAAAGATGTTTTGCAAATGTGGGATACTAGATTTTCTGGGTGGGTACCAAATTTTAAGTTGCTAGTATCCCACTGGATACTGCTCAAATTTGAAGCCCTACAGGTAGTTAATAAATAGAGAGTGTTGAACATGATATCTCACGAGTGAGCACAGCAAACTGAGTGAGATTTCATGTTCAACACGAGAAATAAATCTGGTATTTCCAAACACCAATGTATTTTTCTGTTTATTATATAAAGGTATTATATAAAGTCTTTGAAAAGCGATAATTTTTACAGAAAAGCGATAATTGAAAAGCGATAATTTTCACAAACAAATTACTCATGAAATTATTTGCTCTCCAGTATATATTGTATTATAAAAGTCTGTAGTTTTATTAAAATCATAGACATAGTCAGGCTCGCAGGCTAACAACGTGTATGATATTGCACTTGGGCCTTGGCAATTGTAATACTAATGAAAAGTGTAGCATTCAAAATATTATACCATACAACTGTGCTGCGTGTTTGAGCATATTTTTTCCGTGCACCTACAGAATGCAATTTGGTAAAATATTTTTTTAAAAATCCGCCCGCCTGCACGGGTTTTTTCTGCTACCACTGCAGGGTGTAAGCCAGAAGTAAAAAAAAATCCGCATTTACCTGAAATTGGGAAATGTATTTTAGCCTGAAACCGGGCATTTCTTTGTGGGTATGGGGGCATGCGGTTGCCCCCTCTCGATTTTTACAATTTTTGTGTTTTTGAAATGGCATTTCCCGCATTTTGGGAGTAATTTTGAGCAAATGTTATTATAAACATGTTTTTAATTGGCGTATTAACAACATATTGACGGCAAGATGGACGGCAAGATACTTAGATACTGGTCTATTATCGGATGTGAAAAAAATAATTGAATTTCTATACTATTTTTTGGCTGACCCAAATTGGGAAA